GAAGACCTTGGCGCGACACCAGTGTCCAACGCATTGCGAAACCCACCACTTGTTCAGTTGAGAGTGTGAAGAAACCACCTCACATTCGCGACAACATCACCTGTGTCCATTCGTCCTTCTCCATGCAACACCATTGTCTTCTAAATATCTCCTCCCACAGCATTGTTGTTACTGTTGTTGGCGCAAAGGACGATAAAGTGGTGTCTATGATGGAAATAGCATACCAGTTGCATAATGTGTCAAAAAGGAGCAAAATAGTTGTGTTTTGAAGATGAAAACAGTGCCTGCTGTTCGTCGACCCAATAGGTACGTAAGCAGTGCTACCCATTTAAGTGGAAGATCGCACGTATCACCTCTGTCCACATTAGTAACAGTGTGTGTGGGTGTCAAACAGGAGGCACTTTCACATCTACCTTCCTTCCTTCCTCCAACCCTTCACGTGGTCTGCATGTGTGTCGGCGCATTGAAAATAATGTCACCGTCCATAATTTGTACATGAAGTCATCTCACGCATTGCTGAAAAAGCAAAATAAACGAGAATGAGTTCCTACTTCTCATCACTTGGCCCACGAAAGATACTTTGAGAAGTGATGAACCAAGCATCAACGAATGTAAGGCACCTTAGCTACCCACCAATAATAAGAGGAATTGTTACGAGGCTTTCACTTCATACGACTAAATCTTCCCATGACAACAAATCTCACCATCACCTCCACATCAATAATAAGGCATTAATGTCCACCGAATTCATGCCAAAATCTAACCAAAAGAATTGTACAATATGAAGGAAAGGCGGGTGAGCAGAGCGCTTGAAAGCACAAACATGACTAGGTGCTGCACCGATCACTCCCGATTGCCTCTGCAAAGGCAGTAGAAAAGGAGGCAAATCGACAACGAAATGACATACAAGTCAAATGAAACTATTCATCTCATACCTAAGGAAATGAACAACTGGGACTGTTTGAGAGTAAAGCTGATTTCAGTGACGTCCCACCGCACTGAAACGCACACCACCTGCAAAGTTCAGCACCAGTTTGAATAACTAACCAAAACATCATTGATACAAACAAAATACGGCAAATATTGATAGGTAAAAAGAGATTTCGGCAAAAAGCAACAGTGGTACCCTAAACAATATAACATATAAGCAAAATAATGCAGAGATCTGGCAAACTTAACAAATAAAAATCGGTGAAAAACGAATTTTATAAAAATATTTTACTAATTATGCTTTAACATTGATTTGTTGATCATTGCAATGTTCGCTTACCCCTCCACCGACCTCACGAATATGGCTTACGTGAACACTAAGCGCTTACTGCCACTAACACGCAAATCAGTAGGTGTTGCGTTCAGAAGTCGGTGCGCAAGAGAAAAACGAAGATGAAAGACTTTTGTTTTCAAGGGTAGAATTGTAATTGTGTTGCTTTCTTCCATTTTCGTTTCTCATGAGTGATGGTGAGGTGGATTAATCGCAGAAAGCAGAAAATTGATGAGACACGACATTTATTCAGGTGTACGTCACAAGAAGTTGGATAGATGTTAACGATAAAAGACTAAAAGGTATTGATTGTATAATGCTTACATAAAAGTGAATGATTTGCGTCCTGCGTACATAACCCATGGCCACCATTGAAGACATACATGTCATAACTCTGTGAGAATAAATGCGAAGTATCATTTCAGTTGTTAAATCAGCATGGGTGCAGATGTTGGCAACTTTCTAATTTTTGCCTCCGGAATTGAATGTGCAAGGCTTCTGAACAAAAGAGCTGCTAAGAACTGCACTACGTGGAGGCGAGTAGCAGATGCGCACTAAATAGCACCATGTCACATCACATCACGTCCATCTCATTCAAAATCTTCACCCCGCACAACCACATCACTCATCGCTACTGCGAGGTCATGGACTAAGTTCAACTCAAATACCTCCACGAAGGATAGGAAGAGAAAAGATAGAAGTGGCCACCATTCAGACAAGTCATTATGCAAACCGTAATGCAACGTAACACAAATAAGTAAACAATAAGCACAAAAAACAATATAGAAACATCCCCTGTCTTGGCTTTAAACCTAATCAAAAGAAAAAATACACACTCACATCCTTCATCCTAGATGACACATACTTCCGCTTTCTGCTTACCACGACCACATCAACGCCCTCAAATGACTGCTTTGTTTGTCAACTTGCCTAATCCCCAGGTTCAGAGAAATTAGAACTTAACGCACCTCAGCATCGCCAACACCACGTCCACGAGGGAAGTGGCTACTCACAAAAAAATGCCATAACATGACATACTCGACGTCTAATCTTTCCCTCCGCATCGACCTGCAGGAGTAAAATACGGATTAAAAAGGCAAAAGTCGAAATCAATATGGTCAGGCAGCCTCCGCTAGACTCAAAAAAAGAAAGAATGTGAAAGGTAATATAGGTAGGGCAGACTTACAAAGGGGTATCGGAAAATGGCAAAATATTTGAAGTTATGGCAAATAAGCATTCCAAGAATCAAAAACCAAAGATTAAGTAATAGAAACGCTATTTCCAGAAAAGCAATGAAGCCAACAAAAGGAGGGTGAAGGCAATAGCCGGTTCTAAAAGCGAAAAATTGTAAGCTGAAAACGTGGTCACAAAACAACCAGTTTGATAAAAAAAAAAGA